AGCTCCCATTTGTAATTAAACCATACAGGAACGCCCAAAACTCCAAAAGTAGAGAGGATCTCTCGGAATGACCAAGATTCTGAGTACAATTCATGCTGAAGGTCTCGTTCCTCAGCACATTCCCGGAGCAATCCGAATCATTATAGTACATGTGGATGGCCTCTGCGCCCATAATCTCCACCTTGCGGTACTCCGCATTTTCTGGGTGGCAAACATCCACGGGGACCCCGATGTCCGAATAGGTCTTGCCGGTGCTGCAGTCACTGCTACTGAAGCCTTCCGTAATCAAAAACTGGTACTCCGAGGCTGCCATGCCCAGGGTCCATGCCTGGGATCTTCAGGAACCCGAGGGGGGGGGGAAGTATACGCATTTTTGGACCATTTGTTTTACAATGGGAAGCCAGAAGCAAAAATGTGAACACACAACTGACAACGAGTGCATCACTGATCAAGCCAAAATGCCAAAAGCAGCCCATTGCGAAGTGCCATGTCTGCCCGCTGCCTTCACCGGGCGTCGGATGCGCAAGCACCGGAGCTCCCTTGAACCAAACTCACCCGGCACGTCCGCAACGCTTCTTTCTAAAGACTGCAGACTTATGTGTATGTATGTATATATATATATATATATGTATATATTTATTTATTTATATGTGTATGTGTATATACATATACATACATACATATATGTATATATATATATATATATATATATATATTATGTATATATATTATGTATATATATATATATATATATATATACATATTGTGTATACATATGTATATATATATACATAATATATATATATATATATACATATATATATATATATGCTCACACCCCCCCCCAAGACCTACCGCGAGGTGCTTCGGCTAGCAATGGGTAGTAGAACATGTAAGGATTTGAGGAAACCATTAGGATAAAATACACTCATACATAAACAATGGAAACGTATATCGTGTATAATCAATAGCTGAATACACTGTAATGACCTACGACGGCGCGACATCGCCGTTGGCGGATTTGGGCAAGCTTCAATGCCTGCAATTGTTTAATAGGATACTGCCTAAATGTTCCGGATATTCATAACTCTGGTCATATAATGACCATAGGCATAACCCGAAGACAGGACCAAGACAGAACAGTGTCTACATCCTACGTAAGATCGTTAGATGCGCCGGGTAACTTTGTGTTTGTCATTGTCTGTTTTTAATTTTGTTCATGTACTCATAGGCATAACCCAAAGACGGGACCAAAACAGAACGATGTGTGCATCCTACCTAGGATCGTAATGAGGGTTACATGTGCACACATGTTTATTCTGTGTGAAGCTCTTAGGTTACTCATGCGCCAATGTGTATAATAGCTATTACTAGTGCGAATACTAATACTGATACTAAGATTTCTATTCCTACGAATAAGGATATTACTGTTCATAACATAATAGGCTTAATGGTTAATACTAGTATTAAAAATTGCACTACTAATTCGAATAATAGTAGTGCTGATGGGAATATTAACACTCCTGGGGATACTAATACGCATATTCTTATTAACTGTTCTCAATATGAATACTAATAGTACTAGTTGTTTGGAATACTAATACTTGTCCGAATATTCATACCAATACTCAGGCTACTGCGATTATACATAATAGGACATTAATATGGGTATTCGTATTAAGGTCAGCATTTCCTTCGAAAGTATTCATATGCGCATCATAATTCATCTTAATACTCGTACTGATATGAATTAGTATGATTACAAATACTTTTACGAAGACGGGTACTTTCAGTAATACCGATACTAATATGAATACTAGTGTTCCTACGAATATTAAAAAACATACCCATATTGATAGTAATTTTATTTTTTATTTGTTACCAATATACACGCAAATGCTAACATTAATACTAATATGCACATAAGTGATACAGTTCCTCCGCAGATTAATGCGCATAGTCTTATTAATTATTCTCAGTATTTATATTCACATTAAAAAACCTACACTAACATGAATAGCAGTATTACCACTTGATACTCCAGATAATACGATTATGCATAGTATGTATGAACAGCGATACTGCTATTGATACCAATATTAATGCTCCTACGAATACTAATAATCACGTTCAAACCAAATACAAAAAACAGACACATCAATGTACCAAAGAATCTGTATTTTCACATACCAATAAATAATATACTCGTATACTACTATTCCAATGTTACCATAGACTATGAGACTATACACTGGTTAATACTAACACTAAGAATAAGGCAGAGACTAAGACCAAGACTAATACGAATACTAAAACTCACACTAGACATTAACACTACCATTAGTACACCTATTGTATAGACTTATATTCAGACTAATACTAACGCTGACATTGGAATTGACATTGACACTGACACCAACACTAACAGTAACACGAATCAACACGCTAGAACGCAGATACTAATACTAACACTAATGCCTAATGCACATCTGAAGACTACTGCGCGTAAACAACGAAACCATTTCCGATCAAGCATGCTGCGCGCTGTATTGGCTCTAAGGCTCCGAGAACCAAAAATCCAAAAAACCAAAAAACCAAAAATCCAAAACCTTTGTCAGGGGGGTCGAAACTTTTGGATTTTTTGGTTTTCCTAGGGTTTTTTTGGTTTTCCAACAGAAAACCAAAAAAATCCAAGGTTTTTTTGGTTTTCCAGCAGAAATCCAAAAAAATCCAAGGTTTTTTTTGGTTTTCCAGCAGAAATCCAAAAAAACACAGGTGTTTTTTGGTTTTTCACGAGAGACACAGCAGAAAAACCAAAAAAACCTTGTGTTTTTTTGGTTTTCCACCGAAAATCCAAAAAAAGCCATGGTTTCGCCAAGGCAAAGCCCAAAAAACCAAAAAAGACCTAGGAAAACCAAAAAATCCAAAAGTTTCGGGCCCCTCAGAAAGGCTTTGGATTTTTGGATTTTTGGTTTTTTTGGTTTCCGCCGTCGTATCGTATGGTTTCTTTTAATGTTTCTTGCTTATGAATACAGGCATATGAATTTGAAAGCGGACATGAGTAGGCACGACGTTGTAAAGAGACATGACTTCACATCAGCCATGATAGAGAAGGTATCATCCCCGAAAATTACGCAAAACACGAATCGTATGCCAAACGCGAATCCCTGCCAAGAGAAGGTTTTGACGGTATTTACAATGGAAAAGAGGCCGAGGTAGGTCATGGGGGGGGGTGTGTCCATATATATATATAAACACGAAACATATAGTACATAATGCAATATATCAAAACATAGTATAATATGTGATGTACAACCATGACATAGTCCAAACAAGCGTGATCCAACTAATATGGCTGTATACAAAATACAAGTAACAATATACCTATAGTCTTTAAAAAACCTATTGCAGAATGTCATGTAATGTTTTAAATGCGATTTACTACAATGTATGTGCAGACATGCACCTATACAAAACTACATGCATGTGCAAAAACATACGTGCGGATGCACGCGTAGACATCCAGCAAGTGACTGGGATTCCGAACTTGCAGAAACTCTCGTGACAAAACCTCAACGCCTCAACAGGTACATCCTAAACCCCAGACCTCACCCAATGTGAACTAGAGGCCAGATAGTTGGAAACCCTAAGACCCGGCTAAACTCTGAACCCCTGAAACCCCAAGCCCCAAACCCTAAACCCTATAAACCTTTAGCCCTAAACCCCCAACCCTAAACCCTAAAATATATAAACCTTAAGCCCTAAACCCCAAACCATAAACCCTAAACCTTAAACCCTAAACCCAAAGCCCTTAACCCTATACACCCCAAACGGTCCTCGTGCACGCAGAGGCAGCGCGCTTCATGATCCACGAAGAAGTCTTCAAGTAACGTTTCCCCAAGGGTCCACGTACCCCAGGGTTCCTTTAATGGTTCCGTTAAGGGTTCTATAGGGTTTAGGGTTCAAGGGTCCATGTTCCCAACTAGTATATACTTTGGCCTTAGTAAGCCCCTTATGCTCCCATAACCTAGCCGAGACCCTAAGACTTAAAGAAAGCTTCAGAAGGGAGCTCAAGCCGAAAAAGGAAACAAAGGTCTGCATGTCCATGTGGCAAAGCATCCACGACCTTGCAGAATCTGTAATTAACGTCATATAGGACAAGTCCAACAATAAACTAAGCCCTAAACCCTAAACTCTAAACCCTAAACTCTAAACCCCACACCCTAAACTCTAAACCCTAAACTCTGAACCCTAAACCCTAAACACGCAGCTCGAGGCTCCGATGAAAAGCGTCTGAAGCAGCCTCCGCAAAACCCTAAACTCCAAGCAATTGCATACCCAAAGGGTCCTGGGTACTGTTATGGGGATTACTTCCCCAAATCATAATCCCTAAGGCTCCATGTGCCCATGTAGTAGGTACTGAGGCCTTAAAGGGGTCCCTATATAGGTACTTTAAGGCCTAAGTACCTACTATATGGGCACATGGAGCCTTTGGGAATAGTAATTCCTAGTATATAAACCCTACATTCTACGATGTAGGTACTTTGGACCCTTTGGGATAATGTAGGAACCTGATTAAGAAACCTTGGGCCTTTGTCAGGGCTCCTTATATGGATCCTACTATTTTGGGGTTATAGGCCCAGGGCGTCTTAATCAGGTTCCTACATTATCCTTTGATACTTGTCTACCCATAAGCTCCATAGTAGTTCCTTTTGTGATTACCTTATAGGATTCTGAATATGAAACCTCAGAAGGAACTACTATGCCATGCAGCCTCTGGGTAGAGTCTAGAAATCCCAAATAAGGCTTTTGTCCAATCGGTCTTAAGTAGCCACGTAATGCAAAAAAAGTCGTTATGCTAGGATTCAGTATGATGGCTTGCGCATTTATCCCCCTGTAGGTCCTTAGGAACCTTTTGCATACCAAACACACACTCCGCCAATACCATACTAACTACTAACTACAGCTAAAGACCCGGACATCTACGTATGCGATCCGGCCTGTCTTTGGCGCCGCGCGGGTAAAGGCTCGAGCCGCGCAGGCTCCGCCCTAGGAGTGTCCGATAGCGTTTAGGGTTAACGGTTAAACCTTAAACTGTACCTCTGAGATTCTGGAAAGCGTGCCATCCACCAAACAGATCTGTGGATATTACAGGGCACACTTTTGTTGTGTTTAACAGGGCCATTTGCTATTAGGGTTCAGGGCTTATAATAGGGGTGGCATCTAGGGTTGCGCTAGGGTTAGGAGAACCTGCGGGACCAAACGCCGCGTAAAAGTAGGGGCCCTATACCCAGATACTATGAATCCCTATATGGTATATGAACCTTAAACCCTTTTACGGTTCTAATTTCGTCCTTATAAGATAATGACACCCTGATATAGTGGCCTTAATAGAACCCTACTATAGATCCCTTATGGCCCCCTTTAAGGAACAGGGTTCATTTCGTCCTTAAGGAATCATGTTCCAGGTCTTTGGCTTCGGCTTCGAACAGCGAACAGCGAGGCCCTGAACCCTACACCCCTAAGCCTAAACCCTAATCCCTAAACTCCCTAAACTCCCTAAACCCTATAGCCCTAATCTCTAAACTCCCCTAAGCTACCTAAACCCTTTAGCTCTAAACCCTATCATCCCAAAACTCCCTAAACCCTATCATCCCTAAACTCCCTAAACCCTTAAGCTTAAAACCCTATCATCCCTAAACTCCCTAAACCCTTAAGCCTAAACCCTATAATCCCTAAACTCCCTTAAAACCCTTAAGCTTAAAACCCTGAAGCGCCTTCGCTGTGGTGGAGGATCCTGTGAGCGATCGCTGCGGGGCCTGTCGCCAGAATCTTCCGCAGGGGTTCAGCTACTTAGAGGCTATAATAAGGGTATATAATGGCTATTTTAAGGGTTCTATATGGGTTTTGGGGGTATACTTAGAGGATCATGGGACTTAGTAATTAGGGTTATACTTAAGGTAACTATATTTAAGTTACTTATAACCCCAATTAAGGGTTCAGCTAGCCCACAGGCTCCATGTGCCTATATAGTAGGTACATAGGCCTTAAAGGGGTCCCTATATAGGCACTTTAAGGCCTAAGTACCTACTATATGGGAACATGGAGCCTTAGGGTAGGGCTTCGGGCTGGAGTTTTTTTGGGGTTTCATTCTCAGAATCCTATGAGGTAATCCCAGAAAGGAACTACAATGGAGCCTATGGGTAGACAAGTATCAACCTTAAGGACGATATGAACCCTAAAAGGGTTTAAGGTTCATATACCATACAGGATTCACAGTACATGGGCAAAAAGGGCCCCTACTTTTAAGGATTATTTGGTCCTTCAGGTGATCGTCAGGATTTAAAGTTCTTACTTTCTGGGATGAAGCGTAGCGTCAGGTGTTAGCCTCCACTGTTCGTGGCTTGGACGGGCGGCGCGAAAAAGAAAGCTTGGATGCTTGTCCAATGGATTGCTTGGCGCCCTGATGCCAAGGGAACCTGTAACTTGTTGGCGGCAGGTGACGAGGGCTTAGAGGGTAGCCACCTAATTAATTGATAAGTTAATTCCGACAACCTGTATACCGACACCTTGAAATCAGGTTGCAGCAATGTCCAAGCTTACAGTATGCGAAATTCAAAGCCCCCCAATAGCAAAACTAAAACCCCTAGGGGTTTGGGGACGCACACCTGCCTGCAAATGTACATTGCCTTCTGCTAAATACATCCATTGCGGCTCGCTCAACAAGGAACCAAACCGCCGATGTGCTCTGGTACCGCCTGCCGCTCTTTGCAAGTCTCCCGTCACAGTTTGTCGTCGCACCCCAATGGGAAAGGCCGCATGCGCACTTCATCCACTTGCCGAAGACGCGCACGGGCTTGCCACAAGTGTTGGGTCCTCATGACGGCTTCAGGGTGTAGGCTTGCTTACACAGGTTATGCATGCGAAGACGGCTACGATTCCAAGACCACGCAAAACCAAAGACAACAAAGGAGCAGGTCACACTGTTCCAAATCCCCCAATCGCCTGCACAGTAGGAGTTGGCAGGCTTGGCATGCCAATCTACTGCCTAGTATTCCAGGGAAGCTGAAAGCTACCTTTTTGGGGTTATATAGGGTATATAGAAACCCAAGAAGGTTCAAGGTTACCTACTCTACTCCACCCTAAACCCCATACCCCCCTAAACCCTAGACCCCTGCCTTAAACCCCTAAACCCTAAACCCCTGCCTAAACCCCTAAACACCCTAAGCCCGTAAACCCTCTACTAAGCAGGTACAGCAGAAGCCCAAAAGTTGGAAACCCAATAGCCTTAATCCTTATAAGAGTAATGTATAGGGAATCCCAGCACTATTTGACTTTAACCCAGTTTCCAACTTTATGGTGATTACTGTAGACCCTAAGCCCCTAAAATCCTAAACCCTAAACGGCACACCCCAAACCCTAAACCCCTAACCCCTAAACCCCTACTGTAATCCTGTCTGACACGCCCAGAAAAGGCCTGGGGATCACCGCTCTGGTGGCCTTCCAGGGTGTGTTTGGAATGAGCGGCTTACCTAGAGGGTCATACCCTACCCCTTTTTTAGGATACCTAGTTTTTATGGTTAGGATCTCTGTTTCCCAAAGGCTCCATGTGCCCATATAGTAGATACTTCGGCCTTAAAGGGGTCCCTATATAGGTACTTTAAGGCCTAAGTACCTACTAAATGGGCACATGGAGCCTTAGGGTTTGGAATGAGCGGCTTATGCTTGAAGAAAAGTGGGCAATATAAGGCTGAGGGGTCGCCCCAGTCCCCAGATAGGATTTTAGGGTTTAGGGTTTAGCAGCAATGTTTGGGGCCTGAACAATCAGAACAGGAAATTGGGGAGTCTTCTATAATGTTATGTTATAACCAGGAACCCCAAACGAATATAGCATAGAGACTTTAAACAAAATCTTGATATGGTTTGGGGCCTACAATAATATGGCTTTGAAGAGGAGCCCGTAGAAATACCATAGGTAAAGATCAAAGCCTACATGTTATGCTTGAGGGATCTTTAGGGTGCCGGGGTAGGGTTGGGGCTCCGGGTTCTGGGGCGTAGGCTTACGATGTATGGCTTAGAGGTTTGGGTTTTGGGTCGCAGTTTAGGCATGTTTCGGCTGTAGGGAGGGGTTACGGTCACCGGGATTAGAGTCGGGTAAGGTTTAGGGTTTAGGGAACCTGTTGGCCGAATTCTCTTCGCTTCGAGGATGCGCGGTGTGGCTACCTTACGGACTGCGTCCATGCAGGGCCCCGTTTTCCTTACCCAAAGGCTCCATAGTAGCTCCTTGTTGGAGTTCAGATATTATATATAGAAACCTATAAGGTAATCCCAAAAAGGAACTTCTATGGAGCCTCTGGGTATACTATGAACCCCTACATGTGGGCATCTTGCTTGCTTAAGGTACCGCGCGGCAAAAAAGCAGACTATGATTCACTTGACTTGGTGTAATGCCAGGTTGTGTAGCAGGCCGATAACAACGCGGGAGAACCCGCGTTTGCTATCTTTTCGCTTAACTCAAGAGACCACCCAACAAAGGATACAAATACGGGAAGTACTAGGGGGGGCACCTACTTGGAGGTTCATGGGCAGTTATAACTGAGGTTATAAGTAAGGTAACTATACTTATAGCCTGCATTCGGGGACTTATAACCCCACTTATAACTACCCATGAACCTCCTAGTAGAATGTAGGAATACCTGGATGAGGCGCCCCTGGTATTTATTCGAGGCTTTTCATACTGATCTGACGAGCCTGGAAGTTTTCCCCAGCCCTACATGCTAAAACCTAAAAGGTACGCATTGAAGCACGAACTCAGTAAGGCTAAGGAGCCGATGAAAAAACCTCACGACCCCACACCCAAAAGGACACCTCTCAAACCTTGTAGCAACCCTGAAAAAAGCTTCTGACAGGCCTTGAAAGGAACCAATCCACTAAGTCCCCAAACCCAAAACAACACAAACCCACACGAAACTCTAGGACCCTCGATCCTTAGCCCTTAAACCTTCAACCCTTAACACTCAAACCTATAAACCCTCAAACCCTAAACCCCTAACCCTTATATACGCTGAACCCTCTAGAACCATCGGTATTAAAACTCCCTAAACCCTAAACCCTGAACCCTTGAGCTCTAAACCCTCTACCCAAACGCTCCATAGTAATTAGTACCTTTTTGGGTGTACCTTAATTACCTTATAGGATTCTATCTATGTACCGTAACATGGAACTACTATGGAGCCTCCGGTAAGAACCCCCGAGCTCCCAACCCAAAACGGTGCACCTCTCGGGGCGCTGGCGGTTGCGAAGGCGGCTGCGGAGGTTTCTTTGCCTCTCCGCAACTTCGCACCGTCTTTATCATTACATGGGTGGCCGTCAAAATTATGGTCCCGTTTTGGATAGTTAGTTATTATAATACGGCATTTATTATTTAGGGTACCTAAAAAGGGGCCATAATTTTGACAACTACCCATATAGAGCACTTTGAGGTCGAGGGCTTGGAGTTTAAGGTTCAGCGTTGCTGCATAAACCCTAAACCCTAGACCGTTTGGAGTTCGTTACGGTGCTCTTTTTGCGAGGGTTTGTAGAGCTCTGTAAGTGTTCAGGGTTTAGGATGTTTTGGAATTTAGGTTTAAGGCTTGGGGTTCTTGAAAACGGTTCTTTTTCGGAAGGGTTCTTGTAGTGTTTCGGCTTTCAGAATTTCAGGCCACTGTAGCCCCTTCCGGGATTCTGGCTGCGGCACATCATCCGCATGCCGCTGGACCCGGTATTCTCATGTAACCCCAAGGGTCCATGTGCCCAAATAGGTTCCTTTAAGAATTGATTTAAGCTTTGTATAGGATTTATAGGGTTGAAGGGTCCATGTACCCAAATAGTATATATACCTTGGCCCTAATGTACCTATATAGGGAGTACTTTAAGGCCAAAGTATATGTTAGTCGGGTGCATGGACCCTTAGGGTACCATCGTCTCTAACATCGGGCCCCAACGTACCCTAAACCCTTAACCCTATCAATGTTGCGCAGCTTCTGGTTTGCTCCTGAGTGCAATGGCCCTGCTGCCAGGGCTATGAATTTGCACAGGTAAACTGGAGAGCGAGTGATGTGGCTGGCTAAATTATTGAAATAGCGTCTTGGGGTATACTATCCCATTCGTGTAGGAAGGAATCACCCAAATTGTAGTTTTTGGACGGGGTATATTCCATTGATAGTTGCAAGATTTCACAACAAGGAACGCCAGAAAGACCATTGCAAATGATCCAGGTTTCTATATTGTGCTGCAAACCCCGGGAGATTCGAGCAAACCCACTTGTTAGCAGCAAATACCGCATCAAGGGTTTAGGGTTTAGGAGTAATATTTACAGCAATGGTAGTAATAATGACAACAATCACAACAACAATAATAGTAGTTTATAGGAACAGTCGAAACAATATACATATGTATATATATATATATACATACACACATCTATTTTTGCATTAGTGATACTGGTAAGAATTACTAGTATTGCAGACACGGTATCCGTTGCCGTGTATAGTTGCACGAAGTACGAAAATGAGTTTCTTAAATGATCAGGCATCCCGTCTGAAGAAACTGGCCGCCTCCTGGAAAAGCAATGATGTCAGAAAGGAGTTTGTCAAGCTCAGCTTTGGAACCATAAACTAAACCTTAAATTTAAACCGTGATACTGGGGCATCACAGGAGCCTTGCACACGTGCAGGTAGGAGCCTAAACTGCGATCACGAAAGCATCTTCGGGATACTTATGAGAAACTGTTTAAAGCGTATTAAGGGATGCTAGTAGGAACGTATCAGACCTCAATACTCCAAGTTCCCGAATAGCCCCTTCAAACAACAACGTCTTGCTGTTCAGTCTCAAAACAGCAACAGCAAGACATGCAAAGGATACTGCTGACCAGCATACGAAGCCGCATTCACTGCGGGCCTGGGGTTGACTCACAGTCGGTGGTGCCTTGGGGCCTGACAAGCAATAGCCGGGCTGGAGGGTTTAGGGTTTAGGGTCCCAATCAGAACTCTAGATATGTATGTATATATATATATATACATATATATATATATATAGAGAGAGAGAGAGAAAATTGAAGCGAAAGGCTTGCACAGGGGGTGTTTTAGGGGCAATGCAAACTTGACGGACAGACCCACAAGTTTAGAGAGCCCCATTGGAAGATCCGATCTGGTATTCCTTACCTTCACAGAGGAAGGCATTCATCGATACACATCATATGTTGAAGTCACATTAGCCAAAAGTGCTAAGAACAGTGTGTGTTCCAGGCAGCATCCTTAAATCTACGCCGCAACCCCAAACGCTGAAACCCTGAGCCCGGAAGCCTGAACCCAAACTAAACGCCACTTCAACCGACGGCGTCGCGAGATCGAAGATGAGCGGCATGCTGGCGCAGCTTGTCTGGAACCAGATCTCGCCTCCACTCTGCTCCTCGCCGAACTCGGTGGCAACATCTGGTCGAAGCTGACGGCAATCGGGCAGCTGCACAGGCGAGCCGGTCCTCGAGCTCACCTTACCCTTGGCCGTACCACGGCGCCACGGAAGACGGCTTGACAGCAGGCGACTGCGATTCTCGGGGCACCTTCGCAGCTGTGCCTTTGACCGCCAGCATCTGCCAGGTCTCTAAAATATAGTAACCCTAAATAGTAGGACCCTTCTTATAAGGACCCCAAAATGCGGTACTCCTTACCCTCACTCTGCAAAGCTGGTGCGAGGTTCGGCACCTCAACGAGGACGAGGCTTCCAGTTTAGGCACCAATGCCACCATCGGCCACCATACATACGTACGTACATACGTACATACATACGTGCATTCTAGGTATATATATATATATATATATATATATACACACACCGCTCGTTCTCCCTGGCTCTGTTGTACGGATAGGGCCCGGAGGTTCCGATTTACAAACAAATCGAGAAATGGGAAGTTCTCAGGGTGATCCCCCCTCTCAAGTCTGCAATAGATGAACGGGGATCTTTAAACAAACACCAGAACTTAACGTGCACATTTTGGGTACACCCCCGCTGTTACAGTCTATACTACGGGAATATGTACAACATACGGGTCTATACAACAAGTACAATACAACTATATATGATCTACATGTTACAGAGTGGGGGCAGGACCCCCTACATATTCCTTGATTAGGAGTTCCGGGGTCTCCGGTCCGGCTTTGAAAGGGTTTATGGTTTTTCGACCACCTTAAGGACCAAAATGGCTTCGGTGACCAAGGCCAAATCCTAAAACCTAAATGCCCAGGCTCCTAAACATTTAAAACCCCTAAACATCCTGGCATAGAGGCCCCAAAGCCAAATCCTTGGTCGGAAGAAATATTGATTCCGAATCGAAGAACCCTGCATTCTGCGATACAGGTACTCAGGACCCCTTGGGGAAGCCAGTTCCGAAACCCAGAAACCATCTAGGCATATCCCTAGACCCTAGACCCTAAACCCCAATTCCCGGAACCCTAAACCCTAGACAACCTTAAACCCTAAACCCTACCTTGACCCTGAAGAACCTACCTTTTTAGGGTTCCCTATTATGATTTCCTTATATAAGTCCTTAGAAAGATAGGTTCTTCAGGGTTAAGGTTCTTCAGGGTTAAGGTAAACCTTAAACCCTAAACTCCTAGGTCGGAAGGTGCCTTTGCCATCGCCTCTGCCGAGCTCCGGCGTTGACTTGGAGATGGGCACCTAACGCGGCCACGATTAATCCCAAGGGTCCAAGTACCTAATAATCATACACTCTCCAATACCTACCCTACATCACTACTATCAAAAAGCTGAGTACCTGATTAGTGGGTCCTTCGGACCCTTGGGGTAAGGGTTTAGGTGTTAGGCGCTTGGGGTTTAGGGTGTAGGAGTTTAGGGTTTGGGGTTTGTTGCATTTAGGGTATATTTCACGGTAGCCGGGGGTCCAGGTAAGAGGGGTGTCCCCAATGAGGGCCCAAAGGACCTATAAGGCCTAAGGGGTTCTATAAGGGTTCCTGCAAGGGTACGAGAAAGGCTTCTACTAGTAGAAGGGTTTCCGGTTAGGGTTTAGGGTTTAGAGGTTTAGGGTTGAGCGTTTAGAGTTTTTTTCAGGGTTCCTTAAACGGCTTTGAGAAAATTTGTTCAACCCCTTCACACCCGTAAATTCAGTACATCTTTCAGAGTCTGAGATGCCCCCAACATACCCTGCCATGATACACCCCAAAACCATCTATATATGTTATTATTGCTAATTTTACGTATATATTCTAAGCTTAACGCCCCGTATCAAGACCTATAAACCCTAAATAACTCCCTTCTAGCACCCGTTACCCGAAGCATTTAAAGCAACTCTGCGCTGAGTCTTAAAGGTGAATGGTCCTATGCACCTATATAGTAGACCTTCCTACTTATCGGGTATCATGGGCAACTAACGGTTGGGGTTATATAGGGACTATACTACCCAAGAAAGGCTAAAGGTTCCCTACTCTACTACTAGGCCTTGGGGTTTCTATATGATTTGGGAAAGTAATTAATCCCCATAAGAGTACCTAGGAGCCTGCAGAGTTTAAGGTGATGATGACACTAAGCCGCCAAGAAACCATCTCTTTTATGGTTCATATATATATATATATATATTGATATATTGATATATTGATATATTGATGGAAGTGGGGCGCCAAAAACCATTTCTGCTATGATGACTATGGCTCTTGGAACTATGGTTCTTGGAACCTTAATTAAAGGAACTCTTCTCTTGTTCTTAAGGCCCCAAGAAGAAGGTTGTGGTTCTTGGGGTCTTAAAGGAACTCTTCTCTTTTTTAAGGCCCCTAGAAAGAAGGACCTTCCTTGGGATCGGGCCGATGCCGCCTGGGTCAGCTGCTGCAAGGCTTCTCGCGTCTTGCGTTGCCGGCTGTCCTCAGAAGTCGAAACATAACCTCGGCCCTGAATAACCTACCTTTTCCGGGTTCCTTATTCTGATTTTCTTAGAAAAGTCCTTAAAAAGGTGGGTTATTCCGGGTTCAGCTGGAGTCTGGGTGTCTGGGAATTCTGGTTTAGGGCTCAGGGTCTAGCGTGTCGGGGTGTTGGTGTTGTTTTTGATTTTTAACTTGGTGTGTTTAGGTCTTGGGGTTTCCCCAGGGTCTATGGCTTGAGGTCAAGCGAAAACCTGGAGCCTAAAGGCTGAAACCCTAAACTCTGAGCGGTTTCGGGTTTACGGTTGCGTGGTTTGCTTATGTAAGGATAGGGCGATACCGCACACCATGTCATTTGAGGTACAAAATCGGCTAGCGCAGCCGTAATGTATGATGATTTCTACAACACCCGCAAGCCCTTACTTACTCAACCCTGAACCGTAAACCCTTGACCAGTAGCCAGTAACCATACTTGTTTCTTGCCAACCCCGAAACCCTAAACTCTTTACCCCAAGCCCTCAACCGAGCCTATACCATGCCACGCCGAGGGCAGGGTTTGCAAATGGACCCAATACTTCGATTCATAAGGAAGAGTTCAGGTTAGGCGTCTGTTCGTCTATATTAGTGCTGACTCACATGCCTGCAGCAACCAACCTATACGATCCCATTAACCATAAATACCCTGAGTCTGAACATCGGATCAGCTACAATATATGGTCGGTGCTTGTTGCACTCATGAGCTGTGGTTTCAGCTTCAAAGTGTGCATCTACCCGAGCCATCCAAGCCCAAACCTCCGCCTCAGCATGGCAGCCTGAATATTGAAATGGGGTGTGAGGCAGATCATTATACTACAAGCTTACGAAACTATTCAAGCGTCTACATTTATCATGCACGCGCTGTCATATTCGGAGTTCACGGAAATGATGACTTCAAGAAATAAAAGACCCCCCTAAAGTGTAGACATCCTCAAAGATCCCCCCCCCACTTTCCAAACACAGCTGAGCCCAAACAGGGTTTGTGGTTTGGTGTTCGTCATGTAAAGTAACGGGATCTCCAAAAAACGGACCCGGAACTTTGCACGACCGCTCACCCCCTGGCAACCAAATCCCAAAGCCTGCCACCGCTTCCCGAACACCTACAAAGCGTACCGCCAACCTGCCAACACACCCTAAACCCTAAACCCCCCCTAAACCCTAAACCCTACACCCTAAACCCCCTAAACCCTAAACCCCTTAAACCCTAAACCCACATCAAGCTTGAGGCCCAATACTACACACACACACACACACCACTCTGCCTCCCAAAGTTACCCTATAGACCCTACATCCTAAACCCCAAACCAAACCCTAAACCCCAAACCCTGAATCCCAAAGGCCTGACCCCGATTCCGAAACCGCTCTGGGCTTTGAAGTAGTCAGGGAGCAAAAAGTATAGACTTTTACTTCATAATGGTTCTTTTCAGGAACAGGTACCAAAACAAGTATTCAAGTATGGTACTCCAAACCCAGGGAAGCCAAGCTGCCATCTGCTGTCTCGCTGCAGAGTCAGGCCTTCTTGGGAACTTGGGGCTCAGGATTCTTGAGGTTTAGGGTTTTAGGGTGTAAGGAAATAGGTTTAAAGACTTAGGGATTTAGGGTTGAGGGCTTAGGGGTTTAGGGCTTAGGGATTTAGGGTTTAGGGCTTAGGGGTTTAGGGTTCAGGGGTTTAGGGTTTAGGGGTTTAGGGGTCTAGGGGTCTAGGGTTTAGGGATTTAGTGGGGCAAGAGTCTAGGGTTCTTGAGGTTTGAGGAATAGAAAAGAGCAATAGACAGACCACGAATGAAGGCACCGACAAAGCACACACTTTAGAAGACACTTGGAAACAGCTGTTATGTAACCCTTCGTGTACTGGTGGGAGTCACAAATACCTCACCACGGCGCTCGTTAGCTTTGCCATGCAAAATCTCTACGAAAGCCCCATTATCCGATGCCCTCCGCTTTTTTGGCCCAACTTCAGCCGGCCTGGATCTTCTGCTCGCGACCTGCCACGCCCAAAAGCAAAAGCAAGCACCTACAAGCATTGCGGTTTGAATAGGGTTCAGTTGGGATTTCAGTATTGTTCTTAAGGGCGCGTTGTCTTTTCCTGGAGGGGGCGGGCATCTGTGAGCAGCTGCTGTATGCTTACTGCTTATCTATGACTCTTTCTGAACTGTGCTGAAGGACCAAAGGACCCTTAAAACTAGGGGCCCTATACCCAGATACTATGAGTCCGTCTATTTTAAACCCTAAACCCAAAACCCTAAACCAGTCCTTAAGGGTGCTGACAGGTGGAGATGCTCGCCTCTCTCCGGAAGCCTCTGCACAAACTGCAATTCTGAACCCTCAAAGTTGAAGCTGAAACCCCAGACATCCCTACGACCTACTTGTCGGGTATCATGGAGAACTAAAGGTTATCCTTTTTGGTTATATAGGGGTTATATAGGGACTATACTACCCAAAAAAGGTTAAAGGTTCCCTACTCTACTACTAGGAGGATCAATCCCAAACATAGCATCAATTACTTCGGATCTAGGATAATTAGTGGGGTTTAGGAACACTGGAATCGACCTCAGGCACGGAAGAAGAGCGTGCGGTAGACTCTGACGACGGCCTGGCCAGTCGGAACAGGTCGGGGACATTGGGCTGAAAGGGGCAACTCGTGCGTGTAGGGTCTAAGGAATGACTTGAAATACAGAGACCTGATGATTTGTCGGGTCCCTATATGAAGTCTGTACTAGGATTCACAAGAAATCATAATAAGAAGAACATATAAGAACCGAAGTATTTATGCTTACTCTAATCCACAAAAACCTAGTTAGGCCAGGGTTTACGGCATAGAGAAGTGGTTTGCGGAACTGGTGGGTCCCTTCTCGCGGTGTCCCTCAAAAAGGATCCTGCCATTTTCCTGGTCTGCAACATGGGGGCATTAATGCTTTTGGGATGTCGGGTTTAGGGATTACGGATTAGGGTTGAATACTCTATAGGGTTCCGTAAGGTCCCTTATTCTCCCCAAATGCTGAGGAGCCTAAAGACAAAAGCCTAGTTTTAGGAAGCACGCTGCGGGACGGGATTAGCCGATAGCACAAGTTGAGTGTCTGACGGTTCCGGGCTTCGGGCAAAACTTCCTCGAACTAATGTAGGAACCTGATTAAGAAACCTTGGGCCTTTATTAGGGTTCCTTCTATGAATCCTACTATATTGGGGTATAGGAACAGGGTTTCTTAATCAGGTTCCTACATATCAGTGTTTGAACAGTTGGGAGACTGCAAGGTATGGGTCCGACAGTGATGTGGGTTTAGGGCCGGGCTCTTGATGCAGAGCTTTTCGGTTGAGCACCTTTTTCCGTCTATCCCCGCTGGAATGTAGGGTTCTCAGGGCTCACAGGGCTTAGGGTTCAAGCTTCATGCTCGAGGGGATGTTGGGCTCGGACATCGTCAATAACCTTAAGGATGAAATGATCCCTAAAAGGGTTTAAGGTTCATATGCCACATAGGGATTCATAGTATGTAGGTATAGGGCCCCTACTTTCAAGGGTCTTCCTTGGTCGCGCAGGAAGCTCCACCGCCGCGGTTGAGGCGCTCTTTAGCATCTTCGGGGTCTTCTTGTCTGCCCTTCTCCGCGTTGGCAACACACACTCGTAGTCATCGTTGTCGTCGTCCGTGGCGCTCTACTCCTGAAGGACCAAATGACCCATAAGAGTAGGGGCCCTATACCCATATACTATGAATCCCTATAATTATGGAATATGAACTTTAACCCCTTTTAGGGTTATTCATTTCGTCCTTAAGGCTCGGTGCCGGCGTTGCTCTTGTCCTTGTCCGTGGCGCTCGGTGCCGGCGTTGGTCTTGCCGTCGTCCCCGATGTCCTTCACTAGGGTGAAGGTAGGCTCGGAGCTCTGCGCAGCGTTGCCCTCACCCGTCGTGCGTGACAGCTCGGCGACACGTCTCCAAAGACTCAAGGTTCTCCAGCAGAGTTTCAATCATCGCCCCTTTTGTGAGCTCTGTCTTCGTTCTGTGTCCAGTCCTCTTGTTCAAGGCTTGGCGGACCCTCTCAAAGCCCGAGGCAGGGGCGACAGGTTCACGCTTTCGACGGGTTTGGGTTGATTTCCTGCGTCTTAGCACCAAACCAAAAGCCCACTTCACCGAACCCTCAGATCCCCAATGCTATAACCCTAAGCCCTACGTTAACCCTGTATAACCTATCTTTTTGGGGTTCATTATTATGATTTCTTGATAACCGCACAAGTACAAAACCCCGCTTACACCTCGAAAGCTAAGCCCGAAGCAACAAGAATCCTACACCAAAGGGTCGAAAGTACCGATATAGTACCTTAAATCACTAAACCCTACTTTTTTGCAGGTTCGTATTAAGAACCCTAATATGGAATTTAGAGGGACCCTACAAAAAAGTAGGTTTTGGTAGGTTAAGGTACGTTGTAGGGTTTCTACATCAAAAAAATTCTATTGTGATTTGGGGAAGTATCCCCCGACCTCGGACCCTTTGGGGATTTACCCCTTGCCCTTGCCTCAAGCCCGCCAAAGGCAGCTTTTTCATGGCAGGCTGTTCTTGCCGCGAGCCTATTGGGCTGAAAGGCTCTATGGGGTTCAGGGGTTGGTAGGGTTTAGGGTTTAGAAGTTTAGGTTTTAGGATTTAGGTTTAGGGGTTTATTGAAGTTTAGGATGTTCCACCGGTCTACACATGGATCTGTGCAAGTTCTGTTAATCCCAGAGGGTTCAAAGATGCTACCATTATGGAATTAAGCCCCCAACAATATTCTAAACACGGTATTTTGGAGGACCTAAGTCCATAGTAGTAGTAATTATTATTATTGTTATTACTATTATTATTAGTAGTAGTAGTTGCTATGGGCCCTCTTGGAAGCTTTGATTTCATTTAGGGTTAGTAAGGGTTTTGCAACTTGAGACTTGGGGTCTGGGGTTTAGGGCTGACGACTGACAATCTACCTTCAGGACGAAATGAACCCTAAAAGGGTTTAAGATGGTTTAAGGTTGATATACCGTATAGGGATTCATAGTATCTGAGTATAGGGCCGCTGCTCTTAAGGGTCATTTGGTCCTTCAGGTAGAGCTGAGATTTCAAAACCTAACGTTCTTGACAAAGGGTCCGAGGTACTGTTATGGGGAAACCTAATTACCCGAATCATGAATAATGATTCCTACTATAGAAACCCTACGTTCTACTATGTAGTTACTTCTAAGCTTCACATTGGGATTAGGATTGGGTTGAGGGCTTGGCGTCTAGGGGAGGCGATGCCTCGAGTTAGGGAATTTGGGTTTAAGGCTTCTGGGAAGAGAGCGCTTCATACCTTGCTTGTCTAGTGTCCTAGGAGAGCTATAGGTTAACCTTTAACAAAACGTAGAGAAGTAGATAATTACTACCTGTAGCTGCCGTCAGTTCTGTCGAATCGGTGGATCCGGGGACCTCTTGAAGAGATCCTCGACAGATTTCTTGCCCTCTTCGGAGTTGTACCGAGCACGTAGGCAGCCTCCACCCCCATATTGTTCATATCTGCATCTTTGATGCATGCTTGGAGCAGGGCGAATTGGCCTAAGTTGCTCGTCGTGGCATCGTACTTGTTCCCATGAGGGCAGGCTTCAAACCACTCATATTCCTCTTGGCAATGGCAGGGCTCTGGTGACCTCTGTCAACTAAGATACCGTAGACAAGGGCAGGTACTCAATGATCATGAACTGTACCTACAGTCTCCATTGTAGTACCTTTTTTTCGGTTAACCAGTGTTTATGGTTAGGAACCTATAGTAGAGATTTTGATTAACCAAAAAAAGGAACTACAATGGAGACTATAGGTAATAGTTATAATGCCAAGTGGGCGGAACCAGTATGGCTACAATTGCTTGACCCTACCTGGCTGGGTGGTTTAGCCAAGGTAGAGGCTTAAGTTTCCACAGATACCATGCCTACTTGTCGGGTATCATGGGGAACTAAATGTTAACCTTTTTGGTTATATAGGGATTATATAGGGGTTATACTACCAAAAGGTTAAAGGTTACCTACTCTACTACTAGGCATACCATACGCCCCTTTCACTGTGCTGTCCGGTAGCCGTGAAATTTAGAGCAGCGCAATGCGATACTGCTGGGCCGTCGAGGATTTTGCGCTTTTTTGCACCAGAGCAGGAAACAAATTGGGTTAATTACTATCACATCTGAAGCAACAACAAAAGATCACACCGTCACGAATTAAAATGTAAGACTTCTACACTACAAGTAACCAGGGTCTCAGGTTTTTAGCGCCTTACGAAACAGATCTTACCAAAAAGTCGGGTTGGGCTCTGGTGGCTGAAGGTATTTTACTGTAAGGTTCTATCAGCACGACAACACTACGGGATACGTATTTCAACTACTACGCGATACTCTTATGGAACCAGATGAAGCCCCTATCAAACTTTTGAGCCCTTCATATGTTCAGCTTAATCAGGAACTCTCAAAGTCTATTTGAGAATGTTTATATAAGATACATGAAACCTATGGCTGCCATCTCAGCATATAAGCACGACCAGGAGATGTTATGGCTAGTTGTATTCCGCCGATATACCCTATACTCCATAACCCCTATATAAACCCTAAGCCCCAACCATTTCAGCCCCTTCACCATAAGCCAAGATCTCTACAACAACGGATACTTCTCGAAATTACAGGGTTCCTTTTAGGGTCCTTTTTGTAAGGGTGGCGTACTCTATTGTGGACCTACAAAGGGACCTTAATTTAGAGAACTACCCCCACCGCCCCCCCCCCCCTAAACCCTAAACACTAAACTTAAACCCCAAACCGCCCTAAGTCCTATGCCGATACCCATCCATTACAACTGCTGCCGGCCTCGTCCACGCGACGATTGGGAGTCCTTGGACCGCGCCGAGCTCACGGCCGTGGACCGCGAGGAAGAAGGGGCGGCCGAAGGGACCTTCTCAAGGGTTTAGGGCTTAGGGTTTAAGCTTTAGGGCTTCGGGTTTTAGGGGGATACTAAGGTTTAGGGTTTAGGGTTAGGTTTAGGGTTTAGGGTTTAGGGATTACCTTAACCCGGAATAACCTGCATTTTTAAGGACTCTTATAAGGACATCACAATAAGGAACCCTAAAAAGGTAGGTTACTCAGGGTTAGGGTAGGGTTTATGGTTCAGAGTTTATGGACAATCTGCAGATTTTTCCCAACGGATTGGAAGTGGTCCTAGTTTGATTCTAAGGGGTTGGGCTCAAGGGATTAAGGTCTAGGGTTCGGGGTTTACGGGTCTATGCACCAAGACCAAAAACAACAACCCTGAAACCTCCGAACTCCAACCACGAAACGACGACAAATGCTTGCCTGCCAACACCTTACCTGAAGGACCAAAGGACCCTTAAAAGTAGGACCCATATACTATGAATCCCTATATGGTATATGAACCTTAAACCCTTTGAGGGTTCATTTCGTCCTTAAGCGCCTTATTAGAACCTTACTATAGATCCCTTATGGACCCCTTTAACTCGGAATCCTATTTAGGGTTCATTTCGTCCCTAAGGTACAACGCTCAAACCGAGGAGGCCTTCTCCTTCTGCGGCACTTTGAGGCCATCTCCGGCACTCGGCTTCGGGGTGCGGAACTGTTCGTAGAGCCTGGAAGATACTCACATACAAACACACAAACACAAACACACATACATGGTGCCGCGTCGCAGCGTCGCAGGCCCCCCCCACCCGCCATGGTATGCCCCCCCCCCGCCCCCGCACCCCCAAGGCAGGCCTCTCGTCCCAGCAAACAATCACACGTCATCCGCGTAACTCCCCCCGTAAGCCAGGCCTCTCGCCTTGGCAAACGGGTGACAGTGAACCACAGGGGCAGGGTGGGGAAGGATGGCCCCCACAGGGATCCACAGGGCCCCTTCCCCTTCCCCTCCCTTCCACACACAAATCACAATGATGGGGATGATGTTGTGCACAATGATGTTGATGTGCTATTCGCAGTCTGTCTGATGTTGCTCTGGGCTTCGGCACGGCATGTTCATTGCTTTATTTCGTTGAAAATCGTGCTTGGCTTGTGATGTTCTTGCGAAAACTGTATCGATCGTTGTCATTCCAAGCCAAGTTTTGGTTGGGTTCGTTAAAAGTAAGCTTGAGCGTGTTTGAATGATTTTCATTCGGGACTCTTGAGCAAGGGACCGGAGGAGAGTGCGGATGGGGATCATGACCACCATCATCGTCATCATCATCATCATCATATGCATCACTACCATTGGCTTTGGAGCTCAGGGCAGAGTTTAGTGAATTGTATCACATCCTAAGGTCCCGGACGCCCAACCAGCAATAGCCATGGAAGGGGGTGCAGCTGACCGCAAGCACCGGGGAGGGGCAGGGGGGAACCCACACCACAGGGACCACAGGGGGGGTGAAACCATAAACCTCTAAAGGGGTAGCTCTAACAGGTACCTACAGCAATGGCTGCATGCTCATACATATACATTCCGCTGCCCATTGGCTCACAGTGGTTTTACCATATTGAGACAAGACAAGCTCTCCTTGCGTAGCAAGACAAAACAACTACTGTCCGTGTGCAGGGCGCTGCCCTTTGATCCTTAGGGAATAACTGGTCATACACCTCCTAACAAGGAGTATTCCTTGTGGGTGTATCGGCACAGTTTTCTGGTAGCGGAGCCCGGAAAGGGCCGCCCGCCTCACAAAGTCCGCTACAGCGGTCGGCCTCGCCGAACGCTTAACCAAGCGGATAAGAGGCAGCACAATGTCGAGCTCGCATAGCGAAGCCGACGGCAGTTCCCAATCCTCCGGGGGATATGAGAACGAAGAGACCTCCCAAGGTCCAGCCACTTATGTCGCACAGTCATTTGCAACATCTGACCGCATGCTTGCATCATTAGGCATAACGCCCAAGATCGCGCCTGCCTATGATGGCACCACTTCGTGGTTTGAGTATGAACAGTTGATTGACGACTGGTGCGACATAACAACGCTGGATGACACCAAAAGAGGTCCGTCTCTCAAGACGAGGCTCTCCGGATTGGCCGCAGTACAAAAAGAATCACTGAACCGAGAAAGGCTTGCAGCCCCAGATGGAGTAGATTACTTCAAGAAGAAGATGCGTCCATTTTTCGTGAAAGGAGAACAGTACGTTTTCCTGTGGCGTTTCCTCGGCCTATTCAAGGCATGGAAGGGCAACCAAGACTTTGTGACTTGGATTGCTAAGTTTGAGATCGTGCTACAGCGCGTGAAAAACTCATGGATGGATCTCTTACCAGAGATAGCTCTGGAAGATGCCCATCCAGATTTCATGCAAGCTGTGCAGGCAGACCGAACCTTCCTGGGCCTACAGGAAGCAGCCGAGAGAGACACATACGCCGCACGCTATTTCGAAACATGGAACAAGGAACGCCTTGACAATCATCGAAGAGCGTTTCCTCTGAATGATAATCTCCTAGCTCTTCTCTTCCTAGTGCAGTCCGACCTAAATGAGATGCAACGTGAGAGGTTGGTAACAGCATTGACCAACCAAGGTCACCGAATTGAGACCTATACGTACCCTGTGGTACGGCAGACCATGTTCGATCAGTTCTCAACGACCAGAACTGGTCTGCAGGATCCCAACATTCGGCACTCTTCTCACAAGAAGGACCGCCATGGAAGGAGAGACCAACGCCGCAAACGCGGAGGTCGAAACTTCCTCATCCTCGATCAGGGTGAATACGATGGAGTCGATGGATTCTGGCTCCAAGACGAAGACACCCTTGAGGAAGGCTTTCTTGCCGCCGAGGATGAAGAAGCTGTCTTCTGGACAGTTGATGACCATGAGGCCTTCGTTGCAAGGAGATTCAAAAAGGGAAGAAGACCAAGAATGCGTCCCGGATCACCGGGAAGAGCAAAGGGTGGCAAGCGAAAAGGACGTGGCCGTTTTAGGTCATACCGCGGAAAAGGGAGAGCCAACCAGGCAGAACATGATCCAACTGATTCCAGCTATTTCGGTAAAGGTAAAGGAAAGGAAAAAGGAAAAGGTGGAAAAGGCAAAGGAAAAGGAAAGGACAAAGGAGATAAAGGAAGCTCCTTCAAAGGTCAAAAGCAAAAGGCAAAGGTAAGGATACAGCTAAGTCTGCCTCCTTACAAGGAGACCAAACTGGATCTCCACAGGCCTATGAAAGTTCCACCGCACCGAGCTGGGATTCATGGTATGAGGACAGTTATTATACTGACTCCAGTTGGAATTATGCCGCTTATGACGATCAAACGTCTTATACATACTATGCATCACAAGCCTCACGAAGAAAAACACGGAGAAAGAAGAGAAGAAATCAAGCAGGATCATCAGGTAGAGGCACAGATCCGAGCGCGCACCAAGAACCCGTGTTCAACTCATCAGTGAGTTACGTGCCCCAGGTCTCTGAACCATCCGAGGGGCAAGGTGTGGAGACTGCAACAGCAGTGTTTCCGTTGCAGCACACCGTCCTATCTGCTCTCACAGAGCGGATCAATCTTGATAAGAGCCCTACCTTTGTCATACTTGACTCTGGTTGTACTAGGGCTATGGGTTCCCGCTATGCGGTGAACAGGCTTATCAAGGCCGTGAAGCAACATGCCCCAGGCATGATTGATTTCACTTTTTCACCTTCGAACACGAAGTTCTCTTTCGCAGATAGTGAAACAGCTCTTATCAAGGAGCGTGTAACTCTATGGTTCAACACAACTCCAAGAAGAGATACAACCATAGAAGTTTTGGATCAGGGGAGAGTCCCCATTTTGTTTTCCATCGAACAGATGAGGAATTTAAGAATGACCCTCGAGTGTAGTCCCACAGCTGACCTAGCAACGTGTGAAGCTTTCGGTTTGTATAAAACCCCTCTTCCGATTAGTACCAATAACCATTTGGTATTGGACCTTCTAGGCTTCACTTCCACCAGGAAGTATCTCCCTAAGTCAGGTACGTCGTTCAGTGCGACGGAGACTGCTCTAGGAGCCAAGAAGCCTTATACTAGGATACCGGAAGGTCGCTGTCCAGCCTGTGCCGGACAGAAAAGGGCTCACACGTACCTCAAGGGTTGCGACAAAGCACCTGAGGGAGCAGCTGATCCACCACCGAAGAGGATTTCAGGTAAAAAGAAGCCTCTTCCATCTGATCCGGCAGAATCATCTGCCAAGAAACTTGATCCACCAGAACCATCTGGTGATGCTCCTGAGCCTTCCGGACCATCGGAACCATCATCAGGCTCTAGGGACAAACCTGCAGAATCCTCTGCACCACATGAACCTCCAGAAGAAGAAAGACTTGAGGTCCCACCTGCGAAGATAAAGACTCCAAAGGGTCTTAAAAACCTTCTGAAGAAATCCCGCAAATATGCGGTTAAATCTCCTGTTGAAGAGAAGTCTAAGGTCCCAGGAGCTGATGACGGGACGGAGGTAAGACCACTTGAGTCAAGAGAATACCCGGCTCCTGGTACAGACTCACCTACAGGTGAAGAGATTGTCGCAGAACCATCGCCATCTCTTCCCATTGCTCTTCGCAGGATTCATGAGAAGCTTAAGGACCCTGTAGAACTCTATAAGCTTCACCTTAAGCACCGTCATATGAGTACGGATCAGTTCAAGCGACGCACAAAAGCCTTACAGATCCCAAAGGAGATATACGAGCTATATGACCAACTGGTCAAAAAGTGTTCAGCCTGCCAGGAACATGTGAGAGCTCCTTCAAGAGCGAAGATTTCTGGTTTAAGATCAGAGACTTTCGGTGATCTCACCTTCGTAGATCACGGTGAGCTTCCAATTCCCGGCAAGGATAGTCGCTTAGTATTTCTTATTCTCTATGATGGAGCAACAAACTTGTTGACTGCCGAAGTAGTCCAGGATAAAGAAGAACATACTACAATGTCGATTATGAATGACTACTTTGAGAAATTTCAGATCAACCCAAAGGTTGTAGTTGGAGATCAAGCATTCATGACTCCAAAAATGGAGGCTTATTACAATCGGCAGAATATCAAGCCTGTGGCAACAGGACCTGGAACACCATGGCCCAACAGGGCCGAAGCTGCTGTAAGATTGCTGAAGCATCAGATTAAGCTCATACTTCAGATCCTGAAGGATGGTGACCCGCAGTATAACGGAATCACCATGAAGTATGGCAACCTCGTTCGCCAAGCATGTTTGGCAAGAAACTCTTCGATTACCTACGGAGGAGTTACTCCTTTAGAAATGGCCTTTGGAAGGCGTCCTCGAGATGTTATAACACCAGAGAACGCTGATCCCAATCAGTTGACAGGTAATCCAACTGATACGGAAGTCACTGCGAGAGCCATTAAGGAGCTTGCCAACAGGGCTTACCAAGAGGCACGCCAATCTGATGATCTGCGTAGAGATCTTGCAGCCAGACTGTCAATGACCCAAGGACCTTTCTCTTTGGGAGATAAGGTTTTCTACTGGTCAGAAGATAAGTCTAAGATTGGATCCACTGGGTCCAAACATGGATCTTGGCTAAAAGGAAAGGTGATCTCCGAACTCGGAGGATCCATGGTAGGTGTGGATCTTGGAACACGCATCGTCCGCGTCAATATCTCAAAACTGAGGAAAAATTATGACATAACATCTGATGTGGAGATTCCTCTCGCGCCTGATGAGGAAAC